TCCACTCAAACCTTTCGCCCATGGCCTTTACGTCTCTTTAGGAGCTTTGAAAGCTTCGTCTTCCTCTAGGATCTCAAACAAATTTCGAGGAGCTTAAATAATGTCTATAAACGTAGAGTAGTGGGCGTAGAAACTGCACCATTCTTTAGAAATATAAATGTAATATACTGCAAACGTGACGGCTACATTAATTTGTTTCCCTGGAATCTGTAACACTTATTGTTTAACACTCGATGCCTTTATATTTCTTAACCCTTTCAGAACCCGTGTCTACAATTGAGGGCGAGTGTCCTTATTTATGCACATGAATAAAGACCAGTTTTTTTCGGAAACTACACTATTAGAATTTTTTTTTATTTTTTCCATGATTTCCATGATTTTAGTCCCAGTTAATCCTAAAAATTAAATTAAATTAGTACGAGAAAAAAAAATAATTCAGATCCGATAGGGTTAAAATGATACAAGGGTTATCAGACTCCAAGATTATGGTAAAATCATCATCCCTTCCACAGATGTTCTACTCAATATTAATACCCTCCAGGACTATTTCGACGATCCACCTTGATCCAAACGTCGACCTTACACGTTGCTCCCAGTGGTCGCAATCTCATCCTAACAATGCCCCGTAAATTCGTGCACGCCGACGACGAGAATCCTCTGGACCGTGTACCACTTAAGAGCTACTGTCACTTTCTCCATATTCATGACCGTCGCGGCTTTGTGCCGCGCTTGCTGGCCAAAGTTACGTAGAAAATCGGTCCAGAAACTTGTTTAAAGTCCTGGTCGAAGCCTCGGCCAAACGGGCGAGCGTTACCTTTCGTGGTGGAAACGCGTGTGCCAATTTATTCCTCTGCGGAGAGAGTTTCGACAGTTTGGTAACGCTTACGCGAGCCACGACCAGCTGGGCTGGCTATTTTACGGAAACGCATAAACGCCATTAGCAATAGTATCGTTAGGGAAACCAGCGTTGAAGTCGCCGTTGAGGTCTAAGTGAAGTTTCATACTTTGCTGTTCACAAATTAAGGGTGAATTTGTAACGAAGGGACTATTTAATCGATTGTTTAGGGAGATGATTACTGTAATATATTTACTACTAGCTGCACTCCGCGGTTTCACCCGCGTGGAATACTATTTATTTTATGTCGTTTGCGTTCGACTGACTGTTCAACCGCGTGTTCCTTCGTGAATCAGTAGGTGACTGTCTTTTGTTTTCCGTAACTCAGATGTTTCAATCGATATTTCTCATTGTGAGAAATAGCTTTTGACGAGTCAGATTCGTCTAAGTTTACACTGGCACTTGAAATAAATAGACGAACCTAACTCGTCATTGCATGTCAAGGGGTTAAGCAAACGCAACGACCCGAGTAAATTCCGTGATTAGCGTAGAATTCTCAGTCATTCGTTTGCAAGTTTCGACTGCTAAAATCTCGGTGTCCTCGCACGGTTAATTCGCGGCGGCGCTGCCGACGACCTTTGATGAAATTTGCAAGTTATCGTTTCGCGTGTTTATTTGTGGCTTGTTCCACACTAGACGTCGCGATTTTTCGCTTATTTCGGGCTCCAGCTGGAAGACGCATTTCCGTGAAATAATCGATGGAAACCGGATCGAAATGGAAACTTTTTACCCGTGGCTTTCAAAAACAAACATGGGCGCAGTTGAAAGCGGGAAGTCGGTCTTTTTTTCGCGGTGAAATTCACCGCTATTGGTCTCTCGATCGAAAATGAGAGAAATTTTTCCACTCTGGAATCCGAAACGTTCGCGGTTACAACGAAACGAGAGAAAATGTAACAGTCGCGGTTTTGGACGAAAATATTACGACATCCATCTCGTATGAAATTTTAAGCGGTTGAAGTCCAGCCAGCCGAACGAATTAATACCCTGTGGTATACCCAAGGCTGTGTTTACGCTACATGCACGTCCAAAAACATATTCTGGGTAATGTATGACTCGTTCGAGGAGTGGTTAAGTTGAAGTTGCATTATCAATTCTTTTAAACACGGGAAAATATAAACCAGCTGAAGTCCTTGTGATGAGAACCGTTACACACATTCCAATTCCACATTAGTGGCAGTGAAAATGGTAAATAGACTATAAATCAATGGAACGACGCTATTGGCGTCTAAATCTAACGCTAAATCGATAATCCGCGATCCAAATTTATGGTGTTAGTCGTGGTAACTAATAATTCCAGTCGGACTAGACCCCATAATTAAGTGACTGCAAATCAACCGTAACGACGTCAATGTGTTAAAATTAATCGTCATACGAATACGCTTTGTACCCTCAATAAATAAGCACGAAGCGTCGCGAAAAGTCACGTCGATTTTTGACAGATAACCCGACGCGTTCCTGTTGGTGTGCCAAACAGTTAAGGGGTCGGGAGAAGAAAAATGGTTAAGAAACGGGAAGCACGAAATGGGAGAGCGCGAATAAAGGAAAAAGGGGGAAAAAGTAGTACGTTCCTGTAGTCGGTTGGCAAAGCGAGAGCGTGAAAAGCACACGGATCCCTAGGAACCATGATGCGTGGCCCGTGGAGGACAAAGGGCGCAAAGGGTGGAAGGGGCGTGGAAGGAGGTGATCGAAGGAACGGGAAATAACGCGAGGAATTCGCGGGGAAGATACTCGAGACTTTCTATTTCGTAATGGCGCCGGTGGTAATGTAATATCGCGCGGCACTCGTTGAAATTGATACGTCGAAAAGTTAGCTGCAAAGGGCGAAAGAGGGTTACGCTGACTACGACGACCTGATCGCTGAATGGGGAATGCCAGTTTGGCGGGGAAATTTCGACTAACTGGTACATTGGGCATCAGTTCTTTGCATGAATTTTATTTCATCTCTATATATTTTATTTGATTAATTGCATATACATCTCCGTTCATAAGTATGTGGACACTTTCCTCGTTCATGGAATAGTTACACTGTGAATTATTGCTAGAAAATTGTTTGTTACCATATTCTGTTTCGAATACGTATTTGGTAACATATAATAATACTACAGTTTTAAGTGGGATGTTAAGTCTCGTAGAAAAACTATGGGATCATTTAGAAACAACATTTGGAAAACATTTGTGACGAGATATGAAAAAGTAGAGTAACTTTATTTTAATAATTATTTCAATTAAGGAAGTGTTTACATACATACTTTTGAACGGCAGTGTATAATTTCTTGCACTGAATACAAAATCTTTGAAGCTCCATTCTACGTAAAAAAATTTCTATGCGAACATATTAAAGCAATACTATTATATTTAGAATTTCTAGAAGAAAATTTCAATGCAGTAGTTCTTCATAAGATTGGTACAAAAGGTGTTACAGTCGTGTAAGCAACTCCACGCCCCTATAAATAAATAAGATAGAGTAAAGAATACAATAAAGAGAAGAATGAAAGAAACATTTTTGTTTTCTCATTGATGAAGTAACCCGGAATACCTTTCGAGTACGTTCCTTTGAAGCACTTTCTATTCTCGTGCGAGTTATCGAGCACAACAAAAGGCCCATCAGCTGTCTTCACCACCTTGAAAGCAGTTCACGAACAGTCCAGATAATTATCGAAACGCAAGGAACACAATGGACAAATGGGAGGTACGCGACGAGTTCAATCGAGAGAATAAAAGCCACGCAAGGGAGAACGAGAGATAGAACGAACGGGGGTGTAACAAAAACAAGAAACCCAGTCATTCCCGACGATTCAAACACGACGAAGCAAAATTAAACCACGTAACGCGCGAAGGGATGAAAGGGGAGGTAGAATTAACAGGAAATTTTGCTGTTACCAAATAGATCACGCATACACGACGTCTACGAATTAATGAACCAGATAGTTTCTGTAAATCTGATTCTAACAATCCATCAGTTTATGCATATATGCTGAAAAATGATTTAAAATCAATTGAAACACATTTTTTGATGGAATTCCAACACAGGGTCAGTCTAATTACAGAAATTTCCAAATCAAATACATCGGAGGACCTAGATATTACGAACGATGTAGATTTACCGAGATTGCATGCCATTAGACCCCACGAGGATAGCAATCATAAACGTGGATATTGGTACGTTTATGGCATCCAGGTGAGGAAAGGTTGTTTTTTAGGATTAAGGTATTTCGAGTCTTTTTGCGTTCAATGGTCTCTAAAATCTTTAATTACCATTTAGACCTCAATAACCGAAGTGCCGTAAACTCAGAATTTTCGAAGGATGCACTTAAACTAAGGTTCGAACAAGGTCTCCAGGCATTGGTCCCATCTGGAGGAAATTTCTGTCGTTTTTCCCTATTTTTCGAACACCAAAGTGAGGGTGTCTAGAGTGACCTGAGTGACTTGAATGAACGGAAGTAAGTGGAATCAGCGTTCGAGATTCCACTCATTAAATGTTAGTGTCTAAAATTAAATTGGCGGACACTCGCTGCGAAAGGCGACGGTTTCGTGCAACAAATTGCGAATTCGGGAGTTACGTCCTGAAGAGGAATAAGTCCGGAAAATAAACAAGTCGGAACGCAACGGAGACAACCTCATCACACTTTCGATCCTCCGCCAACACACTAGTTAGCAAAATATCCGAATCGAGCATCCCGAACAACTTGTCCTACTCGATCTCCCGTGGCAAGCGAATCGACCATCTCCCGAGAAAAGATCGAGCAGCATCCGTCCGCGAGCCCGACATCCGCAGAATCGCAAAGAGAACCAGGCTGAGAAGATGAGTAAGGAAAGGAGCCGGCGAGGACGGAGAAGAATAAGGCCGGTACGTTAGGTGTACACTGTGCCTAGAGTCAGTGTAAACGAGACGGAGAAAGGGGGTGAACAGCAGCATCGACGAGGATGGGCGTAGAAACGGGGCTGGAAAGTAGAACGGGACAGAGTGCTCCGCGAGAAGGGAAGAGCAGAGAGAGGAAGAGAGGGGGTCGGTGGATTTTGCGAACACGGAGGGGTCGGGGGTGGCGCCGCGGGCCGCGCCGTCGCTCAGCATCCCTCGTTTCCACCCGCCCACCCTCGTAAAGGCGCACCCTCACGCCGAGAGTATCTGGTAGTCATACGCTGGCCCGTTGCGAGCCCGCCGATATACCGCGCCTCTCTCGCTCGCTTTGCTCGCCACTGTGCACGCTTCTCGCGTCGCATCGCGACAACTGCGTGGTGTGCTGACCCAGTTTCGACGCGCGTACACGGGAGTCGGTACCCTTACCGAGATATCGAGATCCGTTATCTGGTTTCGGCTGATCGTGGTCCTCTAGGAGCGTCTATAGGACCTAGTAGTATCGTAGAGATCGAGGTGGTGTGGATTGAATTACAGAGAATCGAATTACTTAGGTGTATCATCTACTGAAGATTGCAATAAAGAGTCCTCCTCTGAGGCCTTTTGGGGGAGTAAGTAGCAGAGGGACAGAGGACGGTTTAGCACCGACTGGCTAGTGAGAACAGTGGTGCCTGAGAGTAAAGTGTTCATCGACAAAGTAGACCCTGAGAAGAGCAAGTGGAGCAATTCTCGCGTTGCAGAGGGTCCTGTCACCTTCGTCTAACTCTAGAGAATAGTGATACCCAGTAACTCTCCTCTGACTATCAAAGTGTCTCGATACCACGGCACCAGGAAACCTTCCTCGAGGCGATCTCGCTCACATGGTCTGTGTTTTGCCCAGCCGGCCCTACGTGGCTCCCTCTCGGGCGTTTACGCGAGTTAGTCCTGTCTGAACTCGCAAGTGTCACCTGGCCGGCAGGCGTCCGTTGGTGTGGTGCCGCGTCGTTTAGCTCCAACGTCCGTGCAATGACCTGGGTTCGACGGGACGCGCGTCGCTGGTGCTCGTAGACCGTCAACACACCGGGGATCATCGAGGGTCCCGCTCAGGCTAATTGCTGTCGCTGTAGCTGGCAGCGGTAGGTCGACCCGCGTCGTTGCGGTTCCAGACGATTGACGCGCTGCCACGTTTCCTGTGCTGACAGGTGACAAGCGTTCGTATCGGGATCTCGTCGGAGCTAGCTGCTCAGGAATCGCAGCAGCAACTCTATGCAGCAAGGGACTAGGGAGGAGTAGAGAACAACGTTTACCATCTCTCCACAATCGGATTCGATTCACGCCCACGTCTCGAAGGAAACTGTAATCGATACGATGGATACGTTCCTGATAATAGGTATCTGCTTCCTCTGCTACGAGATGTGCGATTTGATCAGGCGTTATGCTACACCACAGACGACGGAGCCACGTCGCTCACTGGAAACCGCCGCAGCACCGCCCTCGCACCGCGTGTTCTCGATTTCCCACAGAATACAGAGCCGTCCAGCCTGTTGCCCGCTGTAAGCTCGGATGATCCCCGACTTCTGCGCTAGGCGATTCATCCTCGACCTACCGAAAGGCTCTATCCTCGAAAAACGCCGAGACTATCAGTCTTATCTGCTCGTTCACGGACACAGGAGGAATACTCGCGAGGTTTGCGCGACTCCAGTGCGATCACAGAGTTCTTGTTGATGGTCAGACATTCATAACTACGAATCGTGATCTTCGATACGAAGTAGCAAATGGAATTGGCGCTGGCCTGACAAATGCACCGGACACAATGACACGGGTCTCAGGTCGGATTGATAGACGGATACAAACGCGCCGATAGGATCAACTGCTGTCGTTATCGATAAGATAATATTCGACGTTCGAAAGTTTGTTGTTGCCTCGAGTTTGTGGAAATCTTTCTTTGCACGCGCTAAGCTCGGATGATCTCCGACGTCTGCGTCAGGTGATTCAACGGACATCCTACCAGACTGTTATCTTCGAGAATCGCTGGCGAAGAGAGTACCTATCCTTCGATGGGTAGAGACAGAAGGTTCGCAATGTTTGCTCTAGCGTGCACGATCCTAGGATCTTTGTAGATCGTCGACTATTCGTCACACCGACGCAGGACATAGGTGATCTTGGATAGCGTCGATCCAGGGCTGCGAGACGAAGCACCGAGCGGAATTGGCGCTCTCCTGACAAATGTACTGGACATGATGGAGCGCGTCCCACGTTGGATCGATAGACAGACGACGTAAGCGCGCCGATAGGATCACCTACTGCCCCTATCGCGATCGATGAGAGTTTGCAGCTACCCGAGTCCCTGGACACCAGAGCCCGAGACTTCCGGCTCCGTTAAAATGCTTGCTCGAGCGAGGTCGAGCGGAATTCGAGTCGAAGCTCGTTCCTCCTGCAGTTTGGAAGCATTCTCGCGTTGCCGTCGCGAGTGTCGTTGAATTTCAGAGGACACGCGAGAATCCTGCGAACTCCTTGGGTCGCACGTGTCGACGAGTAATCGCGAGTGAAGTTTCCTCCTTGAACTCTGTTCCGAAGCACAACCCTCGGTGATCCACTTGCTATCAGCGGGATAGGTTACGTAAAAATGCATCGAGTATCGACGATCCGCAAGAGTCCCTGGGAATCGAACTCGAGGAAGGATACTCGGGATTTCCGTGCAGCGTGGGAACGTTGAGTCGCGAGCAATCGCGTCAATCACGCTCGCTGTCCGCACGTGGCGTGTGTCTGGTGGCACTTGTCATCGAGTGAACATTGAAATGCGCAGAGACTGGTCGACGGAAACACGTCCCGTAGAATTTCACGTGCCCTTTTGTTATCTCCAGCGTCTTCGGAGGACGACGGAGTAGTGTGTCGACGTGTAGGATCGTTGCTGTGCTTCGACCAGTTGATATAAAGGGTCCCACTCCTTTGAGTCAAAGATAGAAGAGAAGAGAAGCAGGTTTTGAGCGATCACCAGCAGATTTTTGCAATTCTCATCGATCACCGTCGACCTGGGTAAAAAGGAGACCGGGGACTATCTGGATACAGGAAAGATGGACTCGTTGGAGCGTTTGATGAGCGCAGGATCGCACCAGCCAGCCCTGACGGCCGCTACGCGATCCCAGAATGCCTTCGTTCAAGCCAACCTTTGCTCCGTGATCGGGCGGAAAGGTCGCCATCTGACTGGCACGTTCTGCCTGACGGGGGACACGATGGAGGGCATTATTCAGTGCCTCGTGTTCCTGAAAGCGTTTTCGGTAAGAAACATACTCCTTTAGTCGGCCGGTTTCTCGCGTTGCACTCGCGCAAGCCGCGGTAAGGTACAATTCCGCCCGAGTCCTCGGAGAGTTTCCCTTTCCGGTGACGTGAATCGGTCATGATGGAGGGCACACGTATCAGACCACGAGTCTGCTCACGGAATACCGTGCTAATACCCCGGAAACCTGCTCCATTTAACGGAGGCGCGAGCAGATGGGAAACAATGTTGAAATTGTTTGCTAGATATTCCGCTGTAGAATGTCACCGGAGAACGCGATAATGACGCCAATACATGCTACAAATGAAACGGGGATATATTTGGAATTGAATGGGGCAGACGTCATTCAAGTAGTAGTCGAGAGTAAGATTAAGATTAGACCGGCGAATGAGACTGCGTCTGGTCAGGGGAATTCTAGATCGCGCGGTGATGCGGAATTTTGCTCTTTTCTTGCAGATATGGCATTAAAGGTTTTATTTACAGATTACTCAATTTGGCAAATTGTCATGGCAATAATCGAAATTTCTTTGGATGATCCATTGGTATTTCAGAGTAAGAATTATTGAATCCTGAATGTATAATAAACCTCTTTTAAACACGTCAATTCTCGATATATAAAGTGACAATAGAAATGAATAAATAATATCACTAGAAAGTGAGCTATAACAGCAAGCGTTGACTAACACAATTAACATTTGAAATTGGGTACAGTTACTTAGACATTTTCATTTTCTTCTTCCGCGCATCTTGCTCACGCAATTGCTCCAGATCGTTTCCATTACAATTTTTATCGACGATAAATTCCGTAATCCAGTTTATCTCTCGTCGTCGAGACACAAAAGCAGAGCATGAGTCACAGTCTCCGAGCTTCCGTCTATTAGGAATTTCGGAACAATACATCCGCTTTGGAGCCAAACCCTAACCATCCCTTCGGGGGCGCTTCCTGCTCATAAATCTGTGCCACCTCCGTCCCCTACGGCGCCAGACCACCCACAAAATTTCCATCCAATGAAATCTCAACCCTCGGCCAATAGATACATCCCTGTCCTCCAATGAAATTTTTCCATCGGTATCAATCAGTTTCTGCACGGGCGGTGGAACTCGATTCAAAATCAATATTCATTCAAATCTCGAACAGCATCCATCTACATCTCGAATGCATTTGGAAAAGCTCTCGACAAGAACGGTAACGACTCTCGTTGCGTAATATGTGCTCGAATCGAATTATCGTGCTCCCGTTTGATTGCGTTAATCGCGTTTAAAATACACCGCACTGCTCACAAATAGTTAGATTACACCTGCAGGGAACTTGGAATTTGAAAGCTGCGTGAAATTCACCGATGATCCTGTTACTTTGTATATAACACAGTATTGAAAGAAAATTACAATCAACTTTAAAGCGTGGGTTTAAACATTTAGAAACTGGTGCAAACTCATTTGATGTTTCATTACAAAGTTGGTACTAATTGATGCTTCAGGTTGTGAATAAAAATATAATACTATATAACATAATGCAATAATTAATTTTCGAGACATGTGGGTGTACTGTAATCCTTCTGAATATTAATTTAGTATCATGATGCAAATATGATAATGAAAGAATATATAGAATCTCTTATGGAAAGTTATTTCTCTTCTCATAAATAAATTGCCTTATTATGAGGAATTCCTTTTACAAATACACCCGTTCGAAACCTACTAATTACCGAATAACAAAAGATAATTGTTCTTCAATCAACATCCCCCGAATCGCAACTCAAACATGGGGTCTTGGCTTCGTTAACTTCGATCACCGAGTTATCAGGTCCAGGTCGATCTATTGTAATTGGCGGTCGACACCTGTCTCGCTCGATCTGTCAAAGCTCCTAAGGCAGACGTCGCCACGCGTTACAGTGTAGCGGTTACACCTTTGACCGTAAAGGTTAAGTCAAATCGTGGCCCGAGTTATGGCGTGCAAATCGAAAACTTGTACACTCGCACGGGAACGCTCTCGAATGGCGTACCTGTGCTCTAGAAGTACACAATCATTCGACGACACAAAGCCATCTTCTCGCCTCTATACGCTGCAACGTAGCACCAGGCGTTTCGTTTGTAGGACACTTCAATCTCCTGCCCTTTGAATTCCCCCTTTGATCGGGAGAAACGGTATCGCGGGACAACGACGGAACATTGTGACTAGTGATGTGCGTTCGAATCCCCCGTTTGAAAAGTTTTGAACAATTCGACGACGGGGAGATTTCAATCGCTTTGGATATTGTTCGATATCGAAGTTTTCCGAACGTCTTGGAAAATCGTGGTGAGGCGCGAAAATATTGAATGTCTGGTGATTCTCTCCTCAAAAGCGTCGAAGGACTTTGAAAATAGAATTACTTGTTACCCACTGACATCCGCTGTGTGACTGAGGTGGTCAAATTGGGGCTTTGTCATTTGTATTTCATGTCATATCCCTTGTCCGACTATGCACTCTCCTATTCTACTTGCTAACGTGACCACGCCGTACTATGTACTACTTTGTGATCTGAGCGCATACTGGTATATTCTTCTTCGAATAATATAAACCATCCAGACCCAAAAATATCAACGAAGGAATTTCTAAGCCTACTTTGAACTCTGGTCGAATTTCTTCTTTTAAAACATCAATAGCCGCGTAAGTGTATTTCGTGTCATATCGCTTGTCTGACCATACATGCTCCTATTCTACTTGCTAGCGTGGCCACACCGTACTACTTTGTGATCTGAGCGCATACAGACATGTTCTACTTTAAATAGTACCAACCATCCAGTCCCAAAAATACTAACGAAGAAACTTGTAATCCCACGTTAAGTCCTGGTAGAATTTGAAGTTTCTTTCTTTCAAAACACCAGTCGCTGGGTAAGTGCGAGGAAATTCTTAATCCAAAAACTGACGGAGTAGTCACGTGCACATCGTAAACATAGACGTTTCGCCAGTCCTAAACAAAGTAATTTTAAAAAGAAGTTGGGCATACAGAAGCGAAATGGACTTGCTAGGTGGTTTCATTATTGAGAAAACAACATCGTTCGCTCCTGCGTCTTTTGGCGAGCCAGGCAGCCGATGTTCTATTTACCGCATCGTAGTCGAGCAAGGGTGGCAAGCTACCCAGGGGTGGTCCACCCTGCTCTGGATGCCTCTGGTGTTTTCATCGAGGGAGGGCCCTTAAAATACCCGCGGTGTACTCTGGCTGATGGCAGTTATCGTCAACGACGGCGTTGACGTCGGCTTGTCGTTCCTCGACGTCGGAGTGGATGGCATTCTTCGTTTTCCTTCGCGCGTCCGAGACGAAGGGTGCGAGGCAGGTGACGATAACATCTCTATGAGACTGGCTATGAATTTTTATCCGTTCTGGCCGCGGGCTACGGGCCTACGGGTAACGAACGGATCGCGATGGCCCCCCATGAAGAAAAGACCACTTACCCCGGTGAGCTCGTTTGGACGATAAGAGTTATTGGCGCGGCGATGACGTAACGTGGACTGAGTTATACAGTTCCTCGTCTCAGAATCGAAAATCGCCGCTATCTTGAAGTCGGGGGTGACGAGAGGACTCGTTCACACCTTTTACCCTCCCTGGTATTTATTCAGTAGGTGTGCAAGGGGTATCCTATCATACGAGATTGAATTCTTCGTGTCCCAGTTCTGGGGATAATAATGAAATATTGTGGGAACACACGTATACGTTACATGTTTAACACTAAAACTACCACGACAGGTCAAATGACTGTTTTCCAGTTTTTGTGTGCAATATAAAAATTGTATACAATTGTTTCATGTACCTATTATTGAATTTAGTATCGGAAATATTTTTGCATGCAATTGAAAAAAAGGAACTTTAAGACCTGTCATTTAATTGATCACGGTAGAAATAGATACAAATAAATGAGCCACTCATTGGACAAATCGATTAACTCCATAAAACAAATAATAATAATAATAATAATAATAATAATAATGCGATGTAATAATGTTTGCCGTTTGAAGGTGTTTATCTTTATTATTCAGGAAAGTTATTATAAATATAAAAAGTTATTACTATATCAAATGTTTTGACACTTAAATTTAACTGTTTTCAAAAAGTGGAGTTAGTGGATTTGTGCAATGAACGGCTGCAATGTCGGTAGGTTTAGTGTTAAATTATTAAAAACCTGTACGATAGGACGATGAAAGAAACTCAATGGTGTGTATAATGTCTACACGAGCTTCATTGTTTTTGTGTCTCCAATCGATCACTGAAGAGGGCGTATATTATGATACATTCTATGTATGTATACTTCCGCAAGCCCGTATGATATCTGAAGTAGCATGTTTATGTACCATATATTGTCTCCTTTTTTTGTTTCATCTTATCCTTCACATATTTACTACTTCAATTCTATCTGATTCGTTCCACTAATTCTACCCACTGTGCTAGAATCGACATTTTCTAGGTGATCACTCTAGCCAGCCATCGTGCTCGGAAAGTTAGCAATGAATCACGTTCCACGGATCTTTAGATGCGACTTCTCCCACCACCTTCTCTTCAGAATCACCACTTCTGAAGGATTCCTCTTTCAGAGGAGTATCTGCCGAGCTGGCACCAGGTAGCGCGCGATCGGGCGCAATACCGAGTTATGAACTTTCTACGAAACTACCGCTGGAACTTCTAATATCGTAAAGTAAATTTTTCTGGAAATCCTGCCAGCCTCGTTCTTCTTGTGGACGCGAAACTTCGTATTAATAAAGTTCCTGTTAAAACGAAGGTCCAGGAGTAGGGACTTGAATTGCACTCAGTCTTTGGCGAATCAAGTTCCCTACTGAAGTCGTTAAAGCTTGCCTCAAGAACACGTGATTAGAATGATCGAAGAGAATAACAACATTTTTATGAACGTTGGTAACATGACTATATAGCTTGCGAATATGATGAACGAATCAGTCTATCACTATGAATTCCTTAGAAACTGACTAACCAATATTTATACTTTTCTCCGTAATTCTAAAAGATCAATCAA